CCAACCCAGCAGGAACCGATTGTGAAACAAATAGGCAAGAAGAAATGGAGATGGATTGGCCATACTCTAAGAAAACCATCAGAAGACATCACTAGACAAGCCATTGCTCGATTGGAACCGGAAAGGGAAGCGGCGAGTTAGCCGTTCAAGGGTGATTTGGAGGAGGTCATGTGAAGAGCAAATGAAAGCATATGGGCAGACTTGGAGCCAGGTGAAGACTCTAGGAGAGAACCGAACGCAATGGAGACGCACGGCTGAAGCCCTATGTTCCTCTAGGAATTAAAAGAAACAATAATAATAATGCATCTTAAATTGAAGATTATTCATATACTAAATTCTGTATATTGATGTTTTTGACTCCTGTCATAAATATCGTTACCAACGATTTGACATCAGTGTTCGTCATCTGTATATGTTTGTGTGTGTGTATGTGATAGGTCTGTTTGAATACATTGTACTCACGTATACATGACAAAGCGTCGGTGGCACAGAGGTAGAGTGCTCGCCGACCACGTAGGTGGTCCGGAGTTCGATCCCCGGCCACAGACGCACTTCTTTACCTCACTAAACCAGTAACAAAACTGGTAAAAAGGGAAGGTTGGGCATGAGGCTAGCAACCCCATTCTGTAAAAACAATCACCAATGCTACAGAAACTTCAAGCCTCTAGCTTGAAGGTGCCTTATGTTCCACTGGGAACGTAAAGGAATAAAAATAATAAAAAAAGTAAATACATGACACATTTTATGCGAATTAAATTTCTCTGTAAAACACAATAAACTTCAAGATATGCTCTACTGAAGGCTATTAGACAGGTAATTATTGTTGGTCACTAATCGGTAGAATTCAATACTGTGATTCAGGAGAACAAGAAGCCTCTCTATGTCCGCTGCAACTACAATTCAAAGGTAATGATATGCCAAGTGAAATGATAACCATCAATTTGAGAAAATAGACTCGAAGAAGGTTTTTTAATGCTGGTAAACTACAGCTTACATTTTCCACACAACTGGTTGTGATTCAGAGACTGGTAAGTGAAGTGCCTAGACTAGCTTTCCACCTCTAATTCTATCAATCAATTTTACTTGTGCTGGTGTGGAGCCATTTATCTGGGAATTTGATTAGCGCTGAATAAAAGTGTTGTTATAACCATCAATGTTTCTGTATCAGATTGCCTCATATAAACAGCCCACAAAGCTAGTCACTATTGAAGAACTCCATTATGGGTAAATTTTGTTTTGATAAAGTCTCACAGTGTTGTTATACAGTAATGTTTACTGATGACCACGTTTCGAGCACAATTTATTGCTCATAATCATATCAAGGTAATCACACGACTTTCTAAATTCATTTATATAATTCCATTGTTTTTCACTTGATTTGATTGGTAGTAATATTTTCCATATTGCATGTGTTGGGTGTAGATTCGATGAATAAGGATTCAGTAATCAACTTCTCTTTCCACCTACCTAGATTACTTTTTAGAATTTTAACCCTCTCCCAACCACCCTATTGTGTGGTTGTGTGTTAATGCATGCAGTGCAATGCTGTGTTGAGCTTTTCTCTAAATTACTTATCTTTTCTGGGTCAACCATTCTTACCTTACCTAAATTCTTAAGTTCCCGACCTACTAGTTTGACCTATGTAGTTCACCTCACAGTCACTGCAGGGTATTTTGTAAATCATATTATTTCGTCTAATTGGGTCAACTGGGTCCTTTAACCTACAGAGCTTGTCGCTGAGTTCGTAGGTTTAAATGCCACCCTAATTCCTGCTTTATTTAGAATCCTACGTAGGGTCTCAGATGTCCCCTCTTTATATGGTATAACTGTAGATGACTTATATTCTCTCTTATCTATGTTATCATTACTAGTTTCTTAATTCTTTTAACTTTTCTTTTGGCCTCTTTCAATCTTCCTAATGAATTTTAAAGGATAGTTCTTTAACACCGACGCCTCTTCTATCTGTTTTCTTTCATCATTTAGGTCTTTTTTGTGCTACTTAGTGCCATTGCTCGGTTTGTTAAACACTTAACTAAGCCTACCTTAATAGTTAACGAATGAGATGAATTAAAGTCTAAATATCTATTAGAATGCGTTGGTTTTCTATAAACACTAGTGTGTAGTTTGCCTTCTTCTATTCGTTTTATTTTACAATCTAACATAGCTAATTCTCCTTGCTCATTTTCGGCTTCAAATGTGAATTTTATTCCCTCTACTAGTGAGTTTATATGTATCAAGAAGCTAGAGAGAGATATGTTCTGTTTTTAACACTGTGAAAGTGTCATCCACATATCTCCACCACTGTGAAACTTTATCAAAACAAAATTTACCCATAATGGAATTACACTGTATCACAGTGCACAAGTTTTATTCTTATAGTATTGAAGAACCTTTGTATATTATCTATTTCAGGTATCGAATGAATCACCAAACACTTCAAATAACAATAGTCATAGCAATTCGCTTAAATTAACCAGAACTTTGAGTACAAAAGAAACGGGTCATGCCAAACACTATTTCTACCATGGCCTGCGGTGGAACCTATACGTTCATAAATTCTGCATGTTACCTCCCTTAATTTATGTGATGTTCAGTTTAGTATCGACAATATTGATTCAAGGTAATTTCAAACAGAGCATCAATAGTTCTAAATAACGAAGGAGTTATCAAGCTGAATATTCTTTGTTCAATAAACCTCAGCCCTTGAATGATTTAATCAGCATCTTCAATGACTGCCTTCAAATGCTCCAAGCAATAAACGATACTTTTGTCTTTACGAGTTGATCGCGGATTCACATCAGTTGGAGAACCATTGAAAACCAGCCACAGGGAGTACTGGACAGCTGTTTCATCCAGCTAGTTCGGGAATCATCGGCAGTACGCACCCACTGCACCGGGGTTCGAACCCAGGACCTTCCGGTTACAAGGCCAGCAAGCTCGTATACCATTCAGCCACTGGGACCCGATTCAATGGCTCATGAATTCTAACTTCTACCAATTCGTGATTTTAGCGCGACCCCAACTATTGTCGTTGGTGGAAATCCATCCACACGTGACTTCTAATTGGACCTCACTGGTCACGACTTCTCACTAGAACTGCAGGAAGCTCCAACCTGTAGCAAGTCACTAGCGAGCATCAGAATAATTATCTATAGTTTGGTTTGTAAGGATTAGTTATGTTTTACGAGTTGATCACGGACTGATATCAGTTAGAGAACCATTGAAAACCAAGGAGTACTGGACAGCTGCTGTTTCATCCTAGTTTGGGAATCATCGGCAGTACGCACCCACTGGGATTCGAACCCAGGACCTTCCGGTTACAAGGCCAGCAAGCTCGTATACCATTCAGCCACTGGGACCCGATTCAATGGCTCATGAATTCTAACTTCTACCAATTCGTGATTTAGCGCGACACCAATGGTATACGAGCTTGCTGGCCTTGTAACCGTAAGGTCCTGCTTTCGAACCCCGGTGAAGTGGATGTGTACTGCCGATGATTCCCAAACTAGCCTGATGAAACAGCTGTCCAGTACTCCCTGTGGCTGGTTTTCAATGGTTCTCCAACTGATATCAATCCGTGATCAACTCGTAAAAACAAAACTAACTCTTACAAACAAAACTATAGAAGATCCTTATGTCATTGGAATTGCACACCAAAACTCTGTGCATTTCTCCTGACTGATTACAACCCCCCCTGGATTATTTACTCATTGAAAATCAAAACAAATGATTCAGCGAAGAGACTCTTTTCAACGAATTTATCATCAAGCTGTACAATCATATATATATAGATATGGTTTTTAAGAAGTTATATCCAGTGAGGGAATTGAATCATAGGTGTGAATGCATGAAATAATAATAATATGAAGTGCAATTAAAACTAAAACGTTTGTGATTGTAATCATAGTTAAATGTCAAGTGGCAAAGCAAATTAATGTCATATATAGAATAATTCATAGGATGGATAGGACTTGAAAAAGGTGTGCAATTATAAGATTAGTAGAAAAATCGAATAAAATAAAAAAGTTACGTAATATTGTGTGAAATTTAATAGCATAGAATTTAATGTTGCATAAAGGAATTGATTTAGAATGACAAGTGGAACAAGTGAAATAATACCGGGGACAATTAAAAGAAGAAGCGCGATCATTGAACATCTGGTCGATAATGATCACCCTATCTCTATAGCCTCCGCCTTTAAAGTCATCTACAAGGCAAAGAGTAATTTACCCAAATCCCTGCGTACCCGACTCATCTGTCTTCTTGAAGCCATCTTTAGCTATCGAAACAGAAAAGCCAGATCTCTGTGTACAGAAAAAGTTCGTTCAACCCCTCCAACTTTCATGGTCTTAATCCCTCTATGCTAAAGTATGGTAATCCCCAATCATATTTTAGCTCTACCAATTTTTCATTTTTGTCATTTTTGTCTATTCAATTTGTATACTCTTCCTTATTAAGTCAATTGTTACTATTACTATTCTCACTTTTAATTGTCCCCGGTATTATTTCACTTGTTCCACTTGTCATTCCAAATCAATTCCCTTTTACAACATCGAATTCTATGCTATTAAATTTCACACAATATTACGTAACGTTTTTATTTTATGCGATTTGTCTACTAATCTTATAAGTGCACACCCTTTTTCAAGTTCTATCCATCCTATGAATTATTCTATATGAAATGACATTAATTTGCTTTGCCACTTGACATTTAACTATGATTATAATCACAAACATTTTAGTTTTAATTGCATTTCATATTATTATTTTATGCATTCACACCTATGTTTCAATTCCCTCACCGGATATAACTTCTTTAAAGCCATATATATACGATTGTACAGCTTGATGATAAATTCGTTGAAAAGAGTCTCTTCGGTGAATCATTCGTTTTGATTTTCTATATGTTACAATAGGAATTTTCCATGATTTAAAAAAAATATTTACTCATTCTCATATGAATAAATAAAACAACTTAACAGGCTACTTGCTACACTTACCTTGCACAATTTCAACGGAAATTATGCTTACAAAGACAATTGTCAGCGCAAAAAGTAGTCGAAGAGACATTTCTGCGAAAGAGTTGTCGCACTTTCACTCAGATTGTTATTACCGTTATTATTATTACTATTACTATTGGTTTTTATGCATTTTCGTTCATATCTCTATTGTTAGGAAGTTTACTGTGAAATACAATCTGTTTATATTAACATAGGTAAGTAAATAAAAAAGAAAATATTAGTTTTAGTGGGATTTTCAAATATGGTGTGTTACAGACTTCTCAGTGATTCTTTTTCTGAATTATGTCGTAAATATTATTATTATTTCTGTGTGTGTAGGCAGAGAGAATCTGGAAGTTTACACAGTTGAAAGCATGTTTACTAGTTTTATACTTTATATTTACATATTGCACAGAGATTCAGTTAAAAATAGTTAAAGAGTATTGCCTTCTTAGATTATTATTATTATTGTATCCTTTAATTCCTAAAGGAAAATAGAGGTTCAGCCGTGCGTCTCCATTGCGTTCGGTTCTCTGCTTGGGTTTTCACCTGGCTCCACGTCTGCCCACACGTTTTCATCTCTTCTTCACATGAAATCCTCCAAGTCACCCACTCTTGCACTGACGACCAACTCGCCGCTTCCCGTTCGGCCGGGTTCCACTCGAGCAATGGCTTGTCTAGTGATGTCACTCACTTGATGATTTCCTCAGAGTATGGCCAATCCACCTCCATTTCTTCCTGCATATTTGTTTCACAATCGGTTTCTGCTGGGTTGGTTCGCTCATTGCCAGACATCTCTGTTGCTGATCTTTTCTGGCCGGCCATCTGACCTTGAGTAGTATTGAGCGAAGACAACTGTTAATGAAGGTCTGTAGTTTGTTTGAGATGCTCTTTATGACGCGCTGGCCAAGTCTCTGATCCGTATAGCAAGTAGCACTGACTTCACATTGGAGTTGAAAATCCGGATCTTAGATTGATTTTAGGAATTTTCAAAAGACCGATTACTGAACAAAGGACAGGCCTTTTCGATAACTTCCTCATCATCAGGTTCCAAAGTTATATATACCTACATAATAGTAGTGAATGAGTTAGTGTTATTAACAACAATAATGTTGTTTAAATAACATCGACCTAATAATACTAATCATATCAATGGATTACAGTTCCTTGGCATCAACATAACACTGCACTACACTGAATATCGGACACAAATATCGGACAATGGGATCTCCTCTTGGCCCACTTTTAGCAGACTGCTCTATGGCCAGTTTGGAGAGTGGAGTTTTAAAATCAACAATAAACAAATTACTACTGTTTTCAATTAGATCTTCTTCAGGCTTTACTCTAATTTACATAGATTTATATATAAAATTTTAACCAATGACGGTGATTTTTGGGAATCAAATAATAATCTTAATAGTCTTAATAATAATAATAATGTGGTAAATGTTTTGAACGTAGTTAATAACGATGATTATAATGATAACAAAATATTGATAATAAGGTTTATGCAGGTGATAAGAATAACAAAGATAGTATATGTATATAAGTGTATAAATGAATTGGGTCAAATCCCTAGAAAATGAGCTAGGATATATCCAAAATACGCTGGTCCAAATGGGTTATCCTAGTAGATTTGTTAGGAGACACATGAATACCAGGTACAACAAAGAAAAACTGATAACAGTTAAAAAGAAAGAACTGTTCATGAAACTTCAATTTAATGGGGAACGTGGCTAGTGAAGTCTTACATCTGAGATTATCGAGAGCAATAAAACGGACTTATACCGCCGCCACCCTTTGTTTGTCATTTTCCAGCCGACCAATTTTGATTGCCCAAGTGAAAGATAAGCTACCTAGTTGTGCCACTTCGATGTGTATCTATAAATTTAGTTGCTCCTGTGGAGAAAGCTAAATAGGGCGAACAACTAGACAGCTGAACAAACGCATTAATGAGCATCTTCCTTCATGGTTCGGAAAAGGTCAAATAAAATCCATACGAAGTTCTATTTTGGCTCATTTGATTGATAGCGGCCACCAAGTGGACAAAAATAGTGCTTTCAAAGTTATCTATCGTATTCCATCGAGTCTTTCGAATGGAATCAGAACCCGTCTTTTACACCTAGCCGAAGCTATGGGAATTCGAGAGAACAATCCTAGTCTTTGCATACAACAAAAGAAGTTTGTTCTACCTTTGTCTCTCTCTTGGCCTAGGTGAATTCTATTCAAAACCCTCCCACCCTTTCTTATTTTCCACCTCCTTTGTACTTTTATAATATTTATTTAAACTCTGATTATCGTTCCACTTCACCTTTTTAAGATTTGACCCAATTCATTTATACACTTATATACATATACTATCTTTGTTATTCTTATCACCTGCATAAACCTTATTATCAATATTTTGTTATCATTATAATCATCGTTATTAACTACGTTCAAAACATTTACCACATTATTATTATTATTAAGACTATTAAGATTATTATTTGATTCCCAAAAATCACCGTCATTGGTTAAAATTTTATATATAAATCTATGTAAATTAGAGTAAAGCCTGAAGAAGATCTAATTGAAAACAATATTGTTCGCTTATATGTCTTGTTCTAAAATTACTACTGTACAAAAGGTACGTTGACGATACCTTTATAGTCTGCTACGATAACTCAGACTTCACCTGCGTCTTACAAGAATTTAATAATTCCCATCCTTCGATTAAATTCACAATGGAATTAGAAAATGATTCAAAGATTCCATTTCTGGACGTGGAATTACCAAGAAGAGATGATGGAACCCTGAAGAGGTTCATCCACAGAAAACCGACATGGAACGGCCAACTAACGCATTTCTAAAGTTGGATACCTTTGAGCCGAAAACGAGCTCTCATCGTCGCACTAACCCATCGCATTAGAAAAGCTCCTATTTCCCAAAAATATCCTGGCTCAAAATGGTTACCCGACAAGTTTTGTCGAAAAGAACATGAAACCTAAACCAAATAGGAGAAGAATGCGATTCAGCGCCAAAGAAAACGCTGTATCTGAATCTGAATTTCAGGGGAGATTTGGCAGCCGATATCCTGAAGAGGAGAATATCCAGCTCTTTAAAGAAGACCTTCCCTGCAGCAACACTAAGAGTGACATTCTCTAGCCGTCCAGTACTTCGAAACAACGCGAAGGACAAACTCTCGCATATGACCAATTCAATGTGCATTTACCAGTTCACCTGCTCATGAGGAGCTAGGTACATAGGTCGTTGTATGCGCGTCCTTTCAAAACGTGTTAGAGAACATTACCCAGCGTGGCTGCAAAGAGGAGGCACCGTTTCAATCAGAAGTGCCATTATTGAACATCTGATCAACACCTCCCACAACATCTCAACTGATTCTTTCAAAGTAATTTACAAAGTCAACAGAAACCTACCGAAAGCAGTATGTTTCCGACTTCTCTGTACAGCAGAAGCCCTCGCAATATGCATCGAGAAGCCGGAGCTGTGTGTTCAAAAGAAATTAGTCCAACCTCTACAACTACCATGGACCTAGTTCGGTATGTTCCCTTAGCTTCTGTTTTTTCTTTCTTGTTTTCCTCTTTCGTTCTCTTTTTTGATCTTTTTTCGTTCGCTGTGTGTGTGATTCTTACTCCCTCTGTCTTCATTCAATTCACCCAATGTTTTCAGTTATAAGAACAGTTATTTTAAGTTTGTTTCCATGCTTTTCCTGCTCACATTTATAATTCGTTTGAAATAACTATTTTACAATTATATCTTAATCCTGTGCAATTTTTGTATTTGTAAGGCTCTTGTAATCTATATTCGCCCCTCCTAACTCCCATCTCAAGTTGAAAATTATTATTTCAATTTTGTTTCCATGCTCATTTTTACACACTTGTTATCCGTTCTAATCCTGTGTAATTTTGTTTCTAAGCCTCTCGTAAACCATATCTAGTTGAAAATAATTGTCACCTTTTATTCGCCATCGTAATTATGTGGAATCAAAGAAGAATTATATCCACGTAAAATTACGTATTTAAATGCGATTACACAGCTACTTTTGAAAATGAAATCGCCGAAAAGATCCATCTTTGCTGAACTTCGTGTTCTCTTCTTTCAAATTTGGAAAAATATTAGTGCAAATTCATGAATTTATAATCTCCCCTGAAGGTCGGCCATGGCGGTAATAGTGGCTGGACTTGCTTCTTTTGCACAGACAGCATCGGTTGTTTCAGGAAAATTGCGATAGCCTCTGTTGTTTGGCATATTTTATTTTAATTTTTATTTTGATTTACAGCTTGATTCCACACCGTATTTTCAGTACAAGTATGGAATTTTCAGCATGGATATCGGTAGCCCAAATTCAGGCCGACCATAGATATCGGGTGTGCGCCGGCAGGGGATCGAACCCCGGACCATGTGCATGGTCGGCGAGAGTCCTAACCACTGTGCCACCGACGCATATGAGATACCTGGATATTTTTTTCAGCAATTTATTTGGTACCCGGTAGATGATGATAGAGAAGGATTCCTCAAGGCTAGCATTGTGGCCAATTTGGACCAGGTGGTCTAATATCGAACTTAAAACAAGAAATAAAGGTTAATAAAGCAAGATTTAATGAATTCATCAAATTTTGGTAGAACTCGTCAGCTGAATACTCTACATACACGGATATATATAATTTTGAAACTACATTGGGAGATATAGGACAGATAAGTAAATAAACTACATTGAATTAGTCATGCAGAAAGATAGGTGCGAATGTTTTTCCAGGTCATGTTCAATTAGATAAGGGGAGAGAGAGTATGAGAGATCAAAATTAAGATAAATTGCATTACGCTTCAATTACATCACTTAGATAAACAATTAGACATTAGAGAATTTAACAAGAATTGCGACCAGAGTAATATCACTCGTAACAGTTATAATAACAATAACAATAATAATACTGTTGAAGTGAGTTAAGATAATGCTACTGATAAAGGATAGTTTTAAATGAATCAAGAATAATAATAAGTAAAACGTATTACCATGGCAGATTGAGAGTGACGACCATCTCCTTTTGTGCACAGAGACCTGGTTTATAAACTGGAATTACACAAGCCTCTGCAATTGCAAGCATCTTCTTGTTTCTTTGTCTGCTGACAATAGTGAATGACTTGACAGCGTCGATATCATGTCCATAGTCCACAAGATGTTTTGTTATTGAGGATTTCAGCAGTTTACACTCAGCTATTTTCAACCATTTTGGCAAATGCCCCATCATTCGAGTAGACAATCGCAAACTAGGACGAAACAGTTGTACAGTACTCCCATTTGGCTTTCCAATGGTTCTTCAACTGATGTCAGCTCATGATGAAGTCCTGTAACCAATTAGTTGAGATATTCAAGTCTCTGGAGTAACAATAATAATGATAATGATAATAATTTAAAACAATAAATTCCCTTTATGAATTTAGATAAAGCAATAAGAAGACGTAATTTGTCTGAATCGTGTAATGTAGAATCCAACGAATATGCACTGAAGACACATTTGATGCGGAAGAAAAAAGTTGACACAAACTCTGGTTGATAACAATTATCCTGACGAGTTCATCAGGAAATATAAAGTAGTCAGTGGAACACTAAGACCCTCTCTACAACTCGCCCCTAAGAAAGACGTGTACATCAAGCTACCCTATATGGGGCATCAAAGCAGCTTGATAACTAGACAAAGATTGAACGCTACTGTTAAAAAGATTTTTTATTCGGCTAATCTCATAATAATTGAGAATGTAAAGCCAATATATCCATCCATCTAAGCCCTTTGAACATGAGAAAAATGACGTCACATCCCACTGCATTTACCAATTTGAATATACGTGTGGACACATACATAGGGAGGGCTCATCGATCTCTGCAAGTAAGGGCTGGCTTCACAGCATATTCCTAAATGGCTCCAGAAGCAAATGAAATCTCCAGAACCTATAAACGGTGAGAACAGAAGACCTAGCTCCTCTATTGCGAAACATATTACAGAGGAGACAGGACATAAAATTGACGTTAACAGATCTTTTAAACCTATCTATAAAACGTGTTTGGGGCGTATGTGTTCAAAAACAATTCGTCATCACATTAAACCTTCCTTGGTAAATTTTGTTTTGATACCAACCAAAGTGGGATGTACTATTACCTCTGTTATTTGGTTTAGTGGTCTTCATTGTTACTTTGGTCTTGAATATGTCCTTTAAACTTGACCTAAGTAGTCTATTTTCTCACCTCTTAACTCTTTATTAATTTCATATATATTCCTATGACAAGTCCGTGTGTGATCAGATTGTTCGAAATGTGTTGCGCAAATACATTACACGATTCAGACAAATTACGTCTTCTTATTAATTTATCTAAGTAATAATAATAATAATAGCAGTACTATTATCATCCTGAATAATGATATATATTCATACAATGAATACAAAGGCGCTTTTCTTCAAATATAATCAATCAATACTTTGTGTGTTATCGGAAGATTCAGGTCTCCGGACGAATGTTGGTTAATTAGAAATAATGATGTCGCATGTTCATTATCACATAAATGAACACAAAAGAGATATTATTGTTTCTATGGTTTAATATAATATGCGTAGGCAAGATTGTCGGTTTCGTTTTCAATGGACACATTCTTATACATTTTTGCTTCTCATTCAGATTTTTTGTATGCACATTGACCACTTTTCTTGTATTTCACTCGATACTCTTTACGTCGTCCGGATTTTGCTGGATTTTCACGAAGTTTTCATTGTCGCTTGCTCGTTTGTTTGTTCGTCTGCCTGATTCGTGTATGTATTCCTTGGAAATGGAGCTCAGCAACACCGCTTCACTTCTCTCAGAAGGGTATAAATTATGATGAATAATAATAATTTTAATAATAAGCAAAGAAAGAAGGGACTTGAGTTCCTTCGACGTCGCAGATACGCCCTGCTGATGAGTGCCAAAAAGAGCAAGTTCACAGGTTGTTCTTACCGTGGCCAAACTTGGATTAATGATCCTGTTTCATTTCACACATTCGTTATTTCATTATGAACCTCTCATTGCAGTCTTACTATCTCCTCCTCTTGAATACATACTACTTTGTACTAGCCACTCACTCACCTGACACCTTTTATAACCTTGAACTGATTTGTCAATTTTCCTACCCCACAACATTCTACGAATCTATTATGACTAATCATCACCATTGTCTCCCATTTTACAATATTTTGTAATCGAATTCAGCCTAGCACGACATTTGTCACACAAATATGACTGTTTATTTTGACACCCCATAACTAATCTGTTATTCTACGTAAAAAATGTATCCGCCACAAAACTGGTTATCATTATTGTAACGGCAACAAATATTATAATTATTTTATAATTGTAAGAACCTGAAGGGAAATTATTGTAAAGAATATTCTTCGTTCAGATTGACTTTTAATTCTATTTGATGTTAGAGACAGAATACTTTCCCACAGTTCTATATTGCTTTGGTAACAGAATACTATGTATATTTGAACATTATATTTCTTGTCGTTTGATGTAAACCAAAATCACGTGTACAGTGTTTGGTTAACGAATATAAACTGTATATATATAAACGTCCGTTTGATTAATGAAAAATATACTTTGGCTTGCGTGTCTTACCTTCTGTTATTAAATTTAGGCCGGTCATACCGGTCATCGCTCTAGGAGTCTGAATTTTCATGCTCGGGAACACACCTACCAGTATGGTCAAATAAAGGTGTTGTCATAAGCACCAAGAGTCCGATACTGGATCATCTCATCCAATCAGGCCGCGAAAATAGCTAACATTGGAGAGTCATTCTCTATCGTATATCGCGTGTTGAATAAATTCGAGTTGCCACACCTCATCCATGTAACATACAAAACAAGAGGAGAGAGTAAGGAAAGATTCAAAAGAGAGAGAGAGTTAATAAATGGAAGTGTGAGTGATGCAAAAAGAATAGTAATAAGGAAGAACAATAGAATTTTATTGGATATGACTGCAAATCAAAAAGAGTGAATGCATCTGCGCCAGCCACTGGGAACGATTTGGAGCTATATCACCAATGGTAGGTCTTCAGCCTTCATTGGTTTTTACCATCCTGAGGACCTCAGCCAGTCAGAAAGTCTACACCTCCAAATGTAGCTGGCTTAAACTAACTTTTGTGGAATTCATTGACCGATGAAGTCATGTTTTTGGTTTGCCCAACTCTAACTCTTTTCCAACCTGAGCCTATGTCAGGTAACATTGCCTGTCATCGAGGAAGGCGATGAGTGGCTAGGCGGCATGTGCAACACATGTCCCAACCACCTCACTCGGTGTAAATTTACTACCTAGTCGATTGATTTCTCCTCCCACCTACTTAGCATTCAACGCCTGACCTTAATATTACTCATCCTGTTATACCTTCTAACATACAATGGAGACAGAACACAGGCACCAGTGATCAAAGACAGCCAGTCTTTTTGTATCTCCCAATTTCGATAGCCATGTCTCATAGCCATAAAAGAGGGTGGATTGAACTGCTGCTGAGGCGAACGCACGCTCTTTGGTCGATAGCCTGATATAATAATAATAATTTGCTTTATTCCAGAAACAGTACTAGTGGTACAGTGTGGAATTTTCAGCACATATCTACAATATTTGCATCTAATTTTATCCAATGTTTAAAAGGAGTATTTCAAAAAAATAAATATAAAGAAAACAACAACAAAAAACACAAAAAACAAAAGAAAATTTTAAAAAATGCGAAAAAATACCAAGAAGTAGAAAGGAAAATAAACAGCATATAATAATATCTCAGTATTGGGTAGTGGAAGCTATGATATGATTATGCATGGTGACAGTAAAGCTATAGTCATACAAGAAGTTATGAAATGATATTTAAGAATGTTTATTGCCAAGATGATCAGTTAATTTAGGTTGAAACAACACTAAACAATCATAAAATAACATTTCAGGGTTATTGTTTTGTTTTTTATTGTCAGGTCTAATGCAGTGTTTGTAGTGGTAGTGTGAGTAATCCTGCATAATACAAAATTTTAAGATGGTGGTAATGGCGTTCACAACCAAGATTGTCAGTTAATATTGCCGAACAAAAAAACAACAACCACAAAAACAAATAATTACATGATGGTTAATGACAGGACAATTTTGTAATACTCATAGTGCTAATATAGTCGGAAACAGTAGATACACAAGAGAAGGAATGGAGTAAAGTACAAAAAAGTAAGCCAATGTTAATAATTTAGGTAGCTAAGTATGTTTAAGAAGGAGTTCACTATAGAATACAAAATAAAAGAGAAATAAAAGAGCCTAAAATTATGTTATTAACAACAAAGCAAGTCATAGGTTTCGCGCTTAACATTGTCTCTGTCACTTAGAACACGGGCCAAGTATGGTATCGTTGAGTTCCTGTACTTGGTTGTATGAG